CCCCAAAACCCCAAAACCCCAAAACCCCTTTTAAGCATGAACAGAATGAAATATTTATTTTTATTATAAATGGATACTACCAAAAGGAAGTAAGTTTTCTCCTTACCCATAGTCCCAACCCTGTGTGCGTCCATTGTGACACTGAAGGAGCTTATTGATGCAGGACTCATTCTGTGAGTGCCCAGATTGTGTGCATTTGCGAAAGGTGTAGAGGAGTCTTTCATTTTGAGTGTGAAGTGGCAGTAAGAAAAAGCTCAGAGGAAGCAAAGAAGGATTTAGAATTTATGAAAGGAATGGTTCAAAGATTGGAGTGGGATATGGACAAGAGTAGAATTGGAAGTTATGACCAGCAGGTGGCCAAGGCTTTTAATGAGTTTGCAGAGAGAATTAAAGAGGTCGAAAGAAGAATGGAAGAAGCTAGTCAGTGGCATGAAATAGATGAGTTAGAGACACAATTGAGAGAGTAAGTCCTTTCTTGCGAACAGTTGCCTATTTTGATTTTAGAATACAAGTGGATCTGTCAAAGAGTAAGGAAGTAAAAGAGATTCTCTTCTTGTCAGCTAGTAGGGAGGTTTCATTGCAAGGTTCTTTCAATGAGAATAAAGGTACAATTTCGGTAATATATAGTAGAGCATTTCTCAGAAAGCATTGAAATAAATCCAAGCTCAGAGTCACAAAATAATTTGAATCACCAAATAGAAGGAGTAAAGAACGAAAGAAAAGAAGAAATTAAAGATTGCACTTCTCTCTCCACCAGAAAGCCAATAAGAGATGAAGCAGAAAATTTATCAGTGAAAAGACTATTGACATTTCTCAAAGAAAATTACATTTCTAAAAGTTTCAATCTTTCAGTAGGATTATCAGTAGTTGTACTTCTCCTTCTCTTGTGGAACTCCAATCTCAGGAATGAGAATAATGATCTAAAGGAAGCACAGATTAAGATTGCTGAACTTGCTGGATATTATCCCCAAGATTCAGGTAAGATCAAGAATTAGCTTTAATTCCCAATACAACATTTTTGCCTCGATGTTTTTGAATAATCTTCTCATCAATTTTATGTAAGGGAGCCTTTTTAGTTAAATAATGCTTAATTAGATATCAAAGCTCTCCAATTTAAGCTCTTATTGTAAATAATGCTTGAGAAATTAAGGATAATAGAAGATATTGCGATTTATAAGTGTATCTTTTATCATTATGGACTTCAGCAAACAATATATTCAGGCGTCTTTCTTTTTTAGACTTATTGTTAAAACATTTTGCTCCAAAGAGTTGAGACCCATGTATGGTTCGGACATAATTCTTGTTTGCTCTTTGCAAATTAATAGAACTAGAGTTGGGTCTAAGGGAGCTTTTAGAGAAACTTAAAAATTAGAGAAGGATGACGGTATTTTAGAATAATTTTGCTTACAAATATACTAGATGTATTTATTCGTGAAGCTTTAGTTTGGATGCAATGATTTGAAGTTGGAATTTAATAAATTGACAGAAGAAGGGGATATAAACTATACCGGTCAACTATCATCTGCTATTTTAGCTCCTTCTTTGTCTTATAATATAACTTGTATTTGTGTTCAAAACTTCAGTATTTGTAGTTCCCCTTTGGATTTAAAATAGAGTTTCTAAAGTATTGAGCTTGGTTGATTTTTAAGATTTTTTGTAATCTCTATTTTACGATATAGACTTGACTCTAGACATGACTGAAAAGCATGCTCAAAACTTGGTAAAAACAATGAACACGATAAACTATAAATTTGGAGAAAAGACAAGATTGAGTATAAATAAGATTGATGTTGTTGATGAAAATATAAAAGAGTTTATCACTAACTTCTCTTCTCCTTCGCTCAGGATATTCTCACTCAATAGTGTTCCCTTTTCTAATGACCATCAAAGTCTCATAAAAATAAAGTTTTACAAAGAAGGACTAATGAAGCTTCTTTCAACGGTAACAAAAGAAGTTTTCTTGAGTAGTTTAATTCTGGACTCTGAAGATCTCAGCCAGATAGTAAAAGCATCAATAAACTCGGAAAGACTGATAATTCATTCTAGCAAAATATCGATTTCTCATGATCTTGATTTTTACACTGGAGCCAACTCCAACATCCAATATCTCAGCATCCAGTATTCTGATAGATTTAAATGGTACGGCACGACTTGGGATGATCTTGCAGAGAAATTTGAACAAATACCTATTGCCATTAAGAACTCCGCATTGAAAGATTCTCTGAAAACGTTGAACATTTATAACTGTCCCATTTCTACTTCAAAAATAGTAGAATTACTGAAAAACTATGGACTCTCCCATATAAATGTGACAAGAGAATTAGTGAAGCCATCATTATCCTAATTTCTTCATACCATTCATGTTCAATACAATTATAAGATGACTAAAAAGTTTTAGGGTTATATAATCACGAAGAGGTTTTATTGAAAAGAATAAACTATTTTGGGATTATAGTGAGTTATTTAATCTTGGAGAAATAAATAGAAAATGGACAGATAATTTAAATTAGTCTTTTTGTTGGGAAATGTATCACCAGGTTTCTCATTGATAATATTTAAGAGATTCTGAATGAGAAATAGGGATTCACATTGAAGATAAAATTTTCTACAAATTTAGTTTTGACAGTTTCCTAGAAAATGAAGTAAAGATTTTAAAGTGACAAGAAAGTTTTATATACATTCAGTGTAGATCTTAGCCTATTTTAATTATTAAGTCTTTTGCAAGAGGACTAAACAATGATTTCAATAATATACCAGTACCCTCCAGCCCTGCCTTCCTTGCTAACTCAGAGGTCTCCTCCAATAACTCGGCCCAATTACTAAGAGAGGGATAGCTGAGTGGGCAGGATGGGGATTGGAAGTGGGCGGTTGGGGTTTAAGGAGAAGGGAGAGTGGAAAGAGAGTTGGAGGTTTGTTTTTGAGGGGTAGGTTTAATGGTGGGGGGTTAGGAGGTGGGGGTTAGGAGGTGTGGGGTAAAGGGGGAATTGGGAGTTGGATGTTAAGGTTTGGAGGATGGGGATAGAAAGATTATTTTGGGAGATGAGAATTTGTCTTAAGTTATTTATTGTTAAGACTTAGGATGGGGTTTTGGGGTTTTGGGGTTTTGGGG